TCACTAAAACATGCCCACACCTCATCAAATTATCCAACGTCAGATTCCACTCCAAAGCTGTTGTCCACATAAAGAAAGCCACCTTAGACGGAACACTCGGCACCCAAACATTCTTCCTAGGAAAAACCCTACTACAATCCCCCACCAAACCCCAATATATTGAAGAAACGGTGAACTACCCCTTGGTCTCCACCCCATTCCACATCATAACATCGGATCCCACACCAGTGATGCCCAACCCATACAAGAGACCCCACAATTCCACCAATTAAGCCACCTCTCAATCTTGCACCTACCGCTGCAACTGAATATCCCAGACCACCATATCCCCACCCTCTAAATAAGATGCCACCGTAGCCTCCCGATCAACCACAATATCAAAGATCAAAGGAAAATGGGTCTCCAATGAAACCTCACCACACCATCTATCCTTCCAAAACCTCACCCTCACCCCATCCTCCACCCTAAACCCTACCCACCTCCAAAGCTCCACCCTCCCTAACTAAATCCCTTTCCAAAGCCCACAACCATGAGTGCTAGTCACATCCCCAGAATCCCAATCCCTCCTTCCCACCCCATACTTAGAGGTAACTACCCTTCGCCAAGCAAAATGCCAAAGTCACCAACCGCCTAACCCCCAAACCCCCTGCTTGCTTACATTGGCAAGTCAGCCCCCAATCAACCAAATAGTACCTAAATTCATCTCCTTTACTACCCCACAGAAAATCCCTTTGAAGCTTCTCCAATCGTTGCGCCACCGACACTGGAATAACATGCATTGGCATGAAATAAGTCGGAATACTACTCAACACACTCTTAATCGGCATCAACCTCCCTCCTTTCGAAATATTCTATAATTCATCTATATTTCAATTGTAAACATTATGAAACTATATCAAACAAAACAATTTGATAAACAAAAGAGTAATAATATACATAATCTAGGTGGTTATGTGCGAGGAATTATTTTATTTCCCATGTATCAACATGTTTCAACTTCAAAGTATACCCTTATTTCCAAGTTATCTAGTGAATTTGTTCTACCAAGTGGTTATGTGCAAGGAATCATTCTATTTTGCTGGAATTTCACGTTGGCAATGTGCCTAATGAATAGTAGGGGCTAAATGCATTCATGGCTTCAAAAATAAGGAAATAGTAGATAAATTATAGAATATTATTGGGCGGGCAGATGGACACGTGTTATTCTAAACTTACTATATAATTTTCGATTGTGTGCCCTTCTTATAACAATGAGGCACATAATTAGTTTGTCTCAAATGTAGGAGAAAATGTATGAAAAATTAGTTATATGGCCCATATACACTTGGAAAGACAAACCATATAGAATATAGGCCAGTCCTATAAAATAATTTCTAATTATTTTCAATCACATTCTTTAGAAATCTCCTATCCACCTAAGTTGGTTTTTGTCCTTTCCTGTCTCTAACAATTATCAACGGGTACTAGAGCAACGTAGTCCGTTCAAAAATAAATTTAAATAAAATTATCAACAAATCTTATTTTCAATAGCATTAATGATTCCTATTAAATTTAATGTAGACAATTAAGTCTTATTTTAAAAAAAAAATATTCTAAAAATTTTTACTTTTCCTTAATAACATCTTTTATTCCAATGTTACCATTCTTATTAAAATATGAACAACATTTTTTAAACAATTTTAATTTACTTAAAAATATATATTTTTTACTTGCAAAAATTCAACAAACTACATCAAACAAAATCAAACTCAACAATTTGATCAAAAGTACTATGTCATAGGATTCATCATTTTCTATTGCCTTGTACTCTGAAAAATATATTTAGTAAACAATCCAAAAAGTCTATTTTTTTTTTTTAATATTTCATAAAAGAAATTGTGAAAAATAATATCTTGGTAAATTCATATATATATATATATTTCAAACTGTGAGACAACAAAAAAAGATGAATCTAAAGCTTATGCAAAGTTCAATAAAAATAGCAAAGTAGTCTCAAAATGTTCCATTACTGGCTTTGTAAATAGCCAAGGCATTACCAACTTTTAATTGATTCAAGTAAATTACATTAGTAGTTCTTATATTTTTGCTCTTGTGTCACTTTTGTCTTTATAATTTCAATGGACTCAATTTTGACCTGAGCTTATTATTTTGTCTCAATTTGGCCCAATTGATTGCAACTTTTAGTTCTTTTTGATGAAAAATGGGAACATGATGAGCTGTAAGTGTCATGCATTTATAGGCAAAAAGCTATAAACTTGTTCAATTTAATAAGTTAACCTCAACCAGCTTAGTAACATTTTTTTGTCAAGAACTCTAATCAGAGTTATCAATCGGACTAAATTAACACAAAATCTAAAATTCAGGTTTCAAAAAATCAAGTTAATTGAAATTACTCAAACCAAAATGACACAAGGGGTATTATGTAGGGACTGCAGATGTAATTCGCTCATTGGTTTATGGAAAAACATTACTAATAGCTTTGGGACCACTGGAATTAAAGACAAAGAATCACTGTTGCCAACTTGGAAGTCATGGCTGATGGTGGAAGTCCAGCTTTGTTTGGCATGATGGCTGATGGATACAATTACATAGTTGCCGTGCTTGACTGGTGGGGCTGGGCTGGGCTGTTGCACTACCACCATAGAAAGACTTAGCTCTGAATAATAGTACATTTATTCCTTCTCCATTATCAAACTACTATCATTTTTACTCTCCTTTTCATATCTCTCTAAATCCTTCCTATAAGAAAATAAAATGAATTGGCTAATGTTTCTTTATCAATTTCTTCTGGTATTTCTCTTGTTTTCTCAAATAGTAGTTACTACTACTTGCTCTTCATTATCATCATGGTCTTCTTCTTCTACTTATGCATGCCATACCTGCCTTGAGGACCAGCGATTGTCACTGCTCCAATTTAAGAAAACTTTTACCATAACTGGCAGTGCCTCTTTAGATTGTGAATCTGATTCTCATCCTAAAATGGTGTTTTGGAATGAGAGTACTGATTGTTGTTCGTGCGACTGGTTGCATGGTCATGTGATTGGACTTGACCTCACCTTTACCTCAAGCTTTACTAAATCTATCTTCGTTGATATCTCTCAGTCTTGTTTATTGTCATCTGCGTGGGAAATTCTCAGAAAACATTTTGCACCTTCAAACCTACGAAAGCTCAACTTACGGGCTAACTTTGAAGCTTCTCCAATCGTTGCGCCACCGACACTGGAATAACATGCATTGGCATGAAATAAGTCGGAATACTACTCAACACACTCTTAATCGGCATCAACCTCCCTCCTTTCGAAATATTCTATAATTCATCTATATTTCAATTGTAAACATTATGAAACTATATCAAACAAAACAATTTGATAAACAAAAGAGTAATAATATACATAATCTAGGTGGTTATGTGTGAGGAATTATTCTGTTTCACATGTATCAACATGTTTCAGCTTCAAAGTATACCCTTATTTCCAAGTTATCTAGTGAATTTGTTCTACCAAGTGGTTATGTGCAAGGAATCATTCTATTTTGCTGGAATTTTACGTTGGCAGTGTGCCTAATGAATAGTAAGGGCTAAATGCATACATGGCTTCAAAAATAAGAAAATAGTAGATAAATTATAGAATATTATTGGGCGGGCAGATGGACACGTGTTATTCTGAACTTACTGAATAATTTTCGATTGTGTGCCCATCTTATAACAATGAGACACATAATTAGTTTGTCTCAAATGTAGGAGAAAATGTATGAAAAATTAGTTATATGGCCCATATACACTTGGAAGGACAAACCATATAGAATATAGGCCAGTCCTATAAAATAATTTCTAATTATTTTCAATCACATTCTTTAGAAATCTCCTATCCACCTAAGTTGGTTTTTGTCCTTTCCTGTCTCTAACAATTATCAACGGGTACTAGAGCAACGTAGTCCGTTCAAAAATAAATTTAAATAAAATTATCAACAAATCTTATTTTCAATAGCATTAATGATTCCTATTAAATTTAATGTAGACAATTAAGTCTTATTTTAAAAAAAAAATATTCTAAAAATTTTTACTTTTCCTTAATAACATCTTTTATTCCAATGTTACCATTCTTATTAAAATATGAACAACATTTTTTTAAACAATTTTAATTTACTTAAAAATATATATTTTTTACTTGCAAAAATTCAACAAACTACATCCAACAAAATCAAACTCAACTATTTGATCAAAAGTACTATGTCATAGGATTCATCATTTTCTATTGCCTTGTACTCTGAAAAATATATTTAGTAAACAATCCAAAAAGTCTATTTTTTTTTTTTAATTTTTTTAATATTTCACAAAAGAAATTGTGAAAAATAATATCTTGGTAAATTCATATATATATATATATATTTCAAACTGTGAGACAACAAAAAATGATGAATCTAAAGCTTATGCAAAGTTCAATAAAAATAGCAAAGTAGTCTCAAAATGTTCCATTACTGGCTTTGTAAATAGTCAGGGCATTGCCAACTTTTAATTGATTCAGGCAAATTATATTAGTAGTTCTTATATTTTTGCTCTTGTGTCACTTTTGTCTTTATAATTTCAATGGACTCAATTTTGACCTGAACTTATTATTTTGTTTCAATTTGGCCCAATTGATTGCAACTTTTAGTTCTTTTTGATGAAAAATTGGAACATGATAAGCTGTAAGTGTCATGCATTTATAGGCAAAAAGCTATAAACTTGTTCAATTTAATAAGTTAACCTTAACCAGCTCAGTAACATTTTTTTTATCAAGAACTCTAATCAGAGTTATCAATCGGACTAAATTAACACAAAATCTAAAATTCAGGTTTCAAAAAATCAAGTTAATTGAAATTACTCAAACCAAAATGACACAAGGGGTATTATGTAGGGACTGCATATGTAATTCGCTCATTGGTTTATGGAAAAACATTACTAATAGCTTTGGGACCACTAGAATTAAAGACAAAGAATCACTATTGCCAACTTGGAAGTCATGGCTAATGGAGGAAGTCTAGCTTTGCTTAGCATGATGGCTGATGGATACAATTACATAGTTGCCGTGCTTGACTGGTTGGGCTGTTGCACCACCACCATAGAAAGGCGTACCTCTATAAGAATGAATAATAATACATTTATTCCTTCTCCATCATCAAACTACTATTCTTCTTACTCTCCTTTTCATATCTCTCTAAATCCTACCTATAAGAAAAAAAAATGAATTGGCTAATGTTTCTTTATCAATTTCTTATGGTATTTCTCTTGTTTTCTCAAATACTAGTTACTACTGCATGTTCTTCGTTATCATCATGGTCTTCTTCTTCTACTTCTGCACACCATACCTGCCTTGAGGACCAGTGATTGTCACTGCTCTAATTTAAGAAAACTTTTACCATAACTTGCAGTGCCTCTTTAGATAGTGAATTTGATCCTCATCCTAAAATGGTGTTTTGGAATGAGAGTACTGATTGTTGTTCGTGCGACTGGTTGCATGGTCATGTGATTGGACTTGACCTCACCTTTACCTCAAGCTTTACTAAATCTATCTGAGTTGACATCTGTCAGTCTTGTTTATTGTCATCTGCGTGGGAAATTCTCAGAAAACATTTTGCACCTTCAAACCTACGAAAGCTCAACTTACGGGCTAACATCAAACTCACAGATAAACTTCCAAACTTCAATGTGACTAGTTCTCTTCAGTTTCCTGATCTTTCTTGGACAAGTTTTTCTAGTCAACTGCCTGATTCATTCAGCAATCTTAAAGCCTTGAATAGTTTGTACCTCTCTCAATTCAAATTTTCAAGGTCCATTTTAGCTTCTCTTTGTAACCTTACACAAATCACTAATTTAGACTTCTCATCTAACAGTTTCAGCGGTCAAATCCCCTCATCAATGTCAAACCTTGCAAAACTTACTAACTTGATTCTTTCACTAAATAATTTGAATGGACAAATAGCGGATTCCCTTGGCAATATGAGGGAACTTACTGACTTGGACATTTCTATAAATTAGCTAACTGGTTCCACTCCTTCATATGCAGTTGGGCTTTTAATGCTAACTTCTCTCCATTTGAGTCGTAACTCACTCATTGGGACAATACCATCTTTGTTGTTTGCTCTACCTTTACTGATTAATATAGATTTGAGTGACAATAAGCTAGAGGGACCAATTCCAGGATCATTTTATGAACTCCAGAACCTAACAGACTTGGTGCTTTCATCAAATAACTTAAGTGGTGTAGTGGATCTAGATATGCTTCTAAAGCTTAAAAATCAGATCTCTCTTGATCTCTCATTGAGCATCAACAACAGTGTCAACTCTACCTTGACCAACTTTGACACTATAGGATTAGCTTCTTGCAACTTGAGTGAATTCCCAAACTTCTTGAGAGAGCAAGCTGGATAGGCTTCTCTAGACCTTTCAAACAACAAAATTCATGGTGAAGTTCCCAAATGGGTATTCGATGTGGGGAAAAATACATTGGGTATTTTAGATCTTTCTCATAATTTCCTTACAAGTTTAGAGAGTCTTCCATGGCAGCAGCTAGAATATATTGACCTGCACTCCAACTTACTTAGAGGTCCACTCCATGTTCCACCTATCACCACAATTGTTTTCTCTCTCAAACAATAAATTGACTAGAGAAATCCCTCCATTGATTTGTGGTCTAAGGTCACTTGGTATTCTTGATTTGTCTGATAATAGTTTGAGTGGCTTGATTCCACAATGTTCGGGAAACTTGAGCAATCTCTTCGTGCTGAATTTAGGGATCAATGGCTTTTACGGCACCTTTATTGCAACATTTACAAAGGGCAATTCGCTAAGGAATCTTAACTTGAATGGCAACCAAATTGAAGGACAAGTTCCGCGATCTTTGCTCAATTGTAGACACTTGGAAGTTCTAAACCTTGGAAAAAACAAGACAAGTGATACATTTCCACACTGGTTGAAAACTCTTCCAGAATTGCAAGTTCTTGTCTTGAGTTTTAATAGGTTTCATGGTCACATAGGCACCTCCAAGACCAAAGGCAAACATTCTTTTCCTAAGTTGAGAAATATCGACATATCTTGCAATGAGTTCACTGGCCTTTTGCCAACAAATTATATCAAACAATTTGGAGCTATGATGAATGTTGATGAACATGAAATAAAATTGAAATACATGGGCAACAAGTATTATCAAGATTCTGTGGTGGTGGTGATTAAAGGATCTGAGATTGAATTATCAAGAATCTTAACAATCTTGTCAATCATTGATTTTTCAAGAAATAAATTCGAATGAGAGATTCTAAAATCCATTGGGAGGCGTAATTCACTTTGGGATCTTAACTTGTCCCATAACAACCTTGAAGGCCACATTCCAACTTCACTTGAAAATTTAACAAACCTTGAATCGGTTATTTTTTAGAAGAGAAAAGTTAGAGATATGAGTGATATCTCACCCTCTTTTATATTAACTCATTAGCATAATTACAGGAGCACTGTAAGGCATAAATAAAGATACTAAATATACAAAAGGATGAAATAGGAAATATTTCTATATTCTAACACTCTCTCTCAAGCTGGTGCGAAGATATCTCACATGCCCAACTTATTGAAAATGTCACAAAATGATATATTCCCTAATCCTTTTGGTGAGAACATCAGCCAGTTGGTCCCCAGATCTCACGAATGGAGTACATATAGTGCCACTAGTGATCTTTTCCTTGATAAAATGCCTATCAATCTCCACATGCTTGGTCTTGTCATGCTGAACTGGAACCGGATTGTGAGCTATATTGATGGTTGCCTTGTTGTCACAGTATAGCCTCATTGAATCTGTTTGATGAATCCCCAAATCTCTCAAAAATAATTGAATCCATAAGAGCTCACACACACCTTGAGCCATAGCTCTGAATTCAGCCTCTGCACTGGACCGCGCAACTACATAGTGTTTCTTGCTTCTCCAAGTTTCTAGATTTCCTCCAACAAATGTACAATAGCCAGAGGTTGACTGTCTATCAGTAACAAAGCCAGCCCAATCAATATCTGTATATGCCTCCACACTCGGATGACCATGTTTGGAGAAATAGAGACCTTTTCTCGGAGAAGACTTCAAGTACCGCAGAATCCGCATAACTGCCTCTAAGTGACTTGCAGGTGGAGCATGCATAAACTGACTAACCATACTCATGGCAACAGCAATGTCAGGACGTGAATGAGATAAGTAAATAAGCTTACCCACTAGCCTCTGGTACCTCCCCTTGTCTATAAGCTTACTTCCTTGATCTTCACTAAGCTTCAACCCAGGCTCTAGTGGTGTATCACAAGCTTTACTGCCAAGCATTCCAGTTTCTCTTAGCAAATCAAGCACATACTTTCTTTTACGTATGAAGATGCCATCTTTGGATCGAGTAACCTCAATACCTAGAAAGTACTTCAAGCTGCCTAAGTCTTTGATTTCAAACTCATTGACCAAATATTCCTTTAACCAAGGAACCTCCTCAATATTATATTATGTGAGTACAATATCATCGACATAGACAATAAGAGCTGTCGTCTTACCATGGAATGAGTGTTTCACAAACAAAGTACGGTCAGCTTGGCTCTGTTTGAAACCATATCGCAACATGGCCTAAGTAAATCTCTCAAACCAAGCCCTAAGAGACTGTTTAAGTTCATAAAGTGACTTGGGTAGGCGGCACACTTTTCCTTTGGTTTTAATATCCTCAAAGCCTGGGGGAATGTCCATGTACACTTCTTCTTCCAAATCACCATGGAGGAAAGCATTCTTCACATCAAATTGATGGAGATGCTAGTTAAGATTGGAGGCAAGGGAGAGAAGGACTTTGACACAGTTCATCTTAGCAACAGGTGCAAATGTCTCCTGGTAGTCTGCTCCATAAGTCTACTTAAAGCCCTTGGCCACTAATCTTGCCTTGTAATGTTCAATTGAACCATCTTCTTTGTGCTTCACAGTGTACACCCACTTACATCTAATAGGTCGTTTGCCCTTAGGTAACTCAGCCAATTCCTAAGCGCCATTTTTAGCAAGAGCTCTCATCTTCTCCATCATGGCATGTTTTCACTCAGGAGTAGAAAGAGCATCCTGAAATTAGAAAGAAGACTCACAGAAGAAACTTTAGACATGAATGCTTTATAAAAAGAAGACAGATTAGTGTAGGAGACAAAATGAGAAATAGGATGTTGAGCACGCGACCTAACCCCCTTCCTATTAGCAATGGGAACATCTAGATCAGAAAAAATAGAGTTACCTGGAGTTTCATCAACAGAAGAGGAGTCTGGAAACTTATCAGAAGGAGAAGATAGCAGTGAAGAATCTGAATTGGTCTCTTGTACCCAAGTAACTTGTTTTCTATCCTGGTCCCTGACATAAACTTTGTCATCTTTCACTGTTGTTTCAAATTCAGACTTAACAGTCTCAATAGCTGAGTCACCTTTAACATCCTGCGCAATCACTAATGGGAGTGATATAGGTAGAGATACAAGAATCACTTCACACCAAGGTGTAAGGCTAGAGTCAATGTATTCCCCTCATTATCAGAACACAGAATTTTGACAACGGCCCCAAACTGAGTGCAAATCATTTTATGGAAATTTTGAAACACAAAAAAAACCTCACATTTATCCTTCATAAGATATACCCAGGTGGTCCTAGAACAATCGTTAATAAAGGTGACCAACCGTCTTTAACCCTTTAAAGATACAAAATTAAAGGGACACCATACATTAGAATGAATCAACGAAAAAGGAACTAAACTTTTATTAATGGAAGGAGCAAAAAAAGCTGTGTTATTTGCCAAGTTGACACGACTCACAATGAAACTTAGAAGCATTATGTTGCAAAAAAAATTGAAGGAAAAAGATGCTTAAGTAACAAAAAAGATTGATGCCCCAGACGGCGGTGCCACAACCATAAGTCTTCCTTGGTAGATGGTAACTGAATCGATGAATGAGCCAGCTTGTCTGCTTGAACCAGGATATAGGGACCATTCTCGTTTCTACCACTGCCAATCATTTTCCTTGTGATAAGGTCCTGAAACAGACAATGATCAAGAAAAAAGGTCACACTACAATTTAAGTCCCGAGTAATACGACTCAAAGATAAAAGATTAACACTAAAATTGATAACATAGAGTACAAAAGACAAAGGAAGGGAAGCAGTGGCATGAATTAAACCTTTCCCAGACGCAGAAGAAAATGGTACCATCGGCAATGCGAACTTTATCCTGGCTTGAAGAAGGGGTATATGCTGACAACAAATCAGAAGACCCAGACATATGGTTTGAAGCACCAAAATTGATAATCCAAGGCAATGTTTGATGAGACAGGAAAGCACTTGGAGAAGACGCTAAATTACTTGAATGGGCAAAGTTACCTGAAGAAGAACTAGATGTCCGACGGTCTAGTAAGTGGCGAAGAGCAACCTCCAACTCAGAAGTAAAAAAACCAGAGATATTAGCAGAAGCAACATCCAGAGCTGGGGACTGTGGCTCAACTGTATCAGAATGATGGGCTCGAGCATTGGGCCCTTGGCCTCTAGACTGACCGGAGCGACCTCCACAAGAACTAGAATGATCTCTACAACCCCTAGATGGTGGCCCATGCAACTTCCAACAAGTCTTACGGGTATGGTGAGGGCGACGACAATAGTCACAAAATAGGGTATCCTTTTCAGAAGGAGGACGGGAACCACGATCCTCATCTCTAGAGGATGCAGAAACCAGGGCAAATCTGTCAGAAGAGGTAGTTGGAAGCATAGCAAAATGACGACTCTTCTCATTTTGCACATAAGCAAATGCCTTTTGGAGAGAAGAAAGCACATCCATCCCAAGCACACGACTCCGAACAGGATCAAACTCCACATTCAAACCTTCCAAAAACTTGAAGACCCAGACTTGTTCAACAAATTTCCGGTAACCAGCAGAATCAGTGGGACAGACAGGTTTGTAGTCCTGAAGATGATCAAGTCTCTTCCACCCATTGTGAAGAAAAGTAAAATATTGGAGGATATTCATCTCACCCTGGACAGACCGGTCAATGGAGCGGCGCAACTCAAAAGTCTGGGAAAAATTACCTTTGGGAGAATACGTAATGGCCATAGCCTCCCAAATATCCTGTGTTGTGTCCATAGACAAGTATCCCTCACCATTCTCCGAAACCATGGAATGTATGAGCCAACCCATGATAAGAGAATTGGTAATCTCCCACTTATCATAACCCGGATCTGTGATACTGGGGGGCAGAACACGCCCATCAATATATCCCATCTTCCTTTTGCTTTTCAAAAAAATAGTCAAACTCTGCGATCACGCTAGATAATTCTAATCATTAAAGAGATAGGTGGTGATTTTCTAGCTAGAGTGGAGAGAATCAGTCATAGCAGGAGGCAAAACAGGACTCGTGCCATGAGGAGCAGATTGCAAAATAGTACACTCACTAGTCAATTCTATCATGAATACTCTACTAAGGAACCCTCATAAACAAACACTGGTCTAATCACTAACCCGAAGAGGGGAGAACAAAACAACCAGAACCAAAAATAAAGAATTTAAGAGGACATTTTTTTTTTTAGAAGACAAAAAAGAGATACCAAGGGAAAAAACAATTACATGACTCAGTCATTGATAAACACAGAGAGAGAGAGAGAGATAGATTAAACCAAACAGAGAGAGATTAAAGTCTTCATAGCAACCTAGAATGACGAGAGTGGAAGACCAGCCACCGACGACTCCTTGGCGTCTATCGGCAGTCAAACAAGAGAGGAAAGATACCCACGACTGGTCCTCCAACCTGCCGACAGACCATGGTTGAGAACAAGGAGGCCTCGACAAGCCCTAGGGTGCTGTCGAAGCCCTAGGATGCTACGACTAGGACCCCCAGCAGCCTAGCTGACTACGATGGGAAGAGTCGGAACCCTAGGAGGCTGTTACTGGTGTTGTGGTGGAGAAACAGGGGTGTGTAGGGGTTGTGGTGGTGAGACTGGTGGCGGCGGCTGGTGTGATGATCTCGTGGGCTCTACGGTTTCAGAGTGGCTCTGATACCATGTTATTTTTTAAAAGAGAAAAGTTAGAGGTATGAGTGATATCTCACCCTCTTTTATATTAACTCATTAGCATAATTACAAGAGCACTTTAAGGCATAAATAAAGATACTAAATATACAAAAGGATGAAATAGGAAATATTTCTATATTCTAAGAAAATCATTGGACCATTCTTCAAACGAGCTTGTTGGGGTGATTCCTCAACAATTGACGAGTTTGATGTTTCTTGAGGTACTA